CGAGAAGCTGAGCTGTCGACTCATGGTTGCTATGCTACGAGACAGAGACATCCCAGCGGAGTACGTCGATCTCTCCGATATTGTACCCAGCAATAATCTGGATCAGTTGAGACCCGACTTCTTCCACGAAGCTGCAGCAGTCTTTGGGAAGCGAGTCGAAGCTTGCAATGGGAGAGTCCCCGTCGTCACTGGTTTCTTCGGCGCTGTTCCGGGGAGCCTGATAGACAGTGGTATTGGAAGAGGATATTCTGATCTATGTGCTGTCTTGGTGGCGATCGGTTTACATGCAGAGAGGGTACAGATCTGGAAAGAGGTTGACGGCATTTTCACAGCTGATCCCAGAGAAGTTCCTGATGCTAGGTGCCTCCCTTCGATTACTCCATCAGAAGCAGCTGAACTTACATTCTATGGATCAGAGGTCATTCACCATCTTGCACTGTCTCTGGCAATCCAAGCAAAGCCTCCAGTTAGCATATTTGTCAAGAATGTGCAGAAGCCGTGGGGCCAAGGAACTGTTGTTGTTCCCACTGATGGTGATGACACATCTTCGTGGCCGATCGATTACCTAGATCCTTCAGACTCGGACAGTACTTCTTCCACAGCACTGCCGAAAATGCCAACTGCTGTCACTATCAAACGAGACATCACCATCTTCAACATACTCAGCAACAAACAGTCCATGTCTCACGGCTTCTTCGTCAAGGTATTCACCATTCTGGCCGAGCACGATATCTCAGTCGATCTAATCTCCACCTCGGAAGTCCATGTTTCTATGGCAATCAACAGTTCCAACATGGATCCTTCCCAGATCAAGAATGTTCAGTGCAGGCTTGCTGAAGAAGGAGAGGTCAATTTGCTGCCTGACATGGCTATCCTGAGTCTCGTTGGTGCTGAATTGAAGAACATGACTGGCATTGCTGGCAAGATGTTTGCCATTCTGGGGGAGCAGGATGTCAACATTGAGATGATCTCCCAAGGTACGTTAACTGTAGCTGAGTCGTTGACAAATCGTGCTAAGATGTTTCGGTGACAGGCGCTAGCGAGATCAACATATCTTGTGTGATCCCGGATAAGGACGCCACTAGGGCTCTTAATATGTTGCATGATGAATTATTTACGAAGAACGCCATATAGATCATATCCATAAACAACCAATCACGCAATTTCTTACTTAAAAGAGCTAAAGTAGGTAGTTATTATATCGGCGTCATTGTGGAGCAAAAATATATGTCAAGTGCTGTTGGAGTGTATAATACGAGCTGTTCGTACCGTCATTTATTGTCATGAGAGCGGGAGCAATCCGGCTTGATTTTCCTTCCTCCTTCCAATTTAATCGTAATCAACTTTCAACTTTTGGCTGTTAAATACATCTTTCTCCACGGTGATTAGAGGGTTTCTCGATAACTATCTATCGACACTGACATCTGACCCGACGATCTTTTGGATGCTTCCTGATTCCACCAAGAGGATAAGCTCCTGTATGTGGTCACCCAAAGCGCTTGCACTGTCTATAAGATTAGGTTATGCTTTCTAAAACCAAGAATTAGATCTTAAAGAGCCCATATATGGCTAGACTTTATGCTAGACTTTAGAGGAATTACAGTCTATAAAAGATGTAAAGACACAATCTCAATCTATTTTCTAAAGTCTAAAGTAAAGAAATAATCTATTATGTCCCATAACAATTCTGAAACTTTTCGTTTGCAATCAGCCATCCAGCAACATTAACATAAGAAAAACGACCATAATCCTCTAGTGAAGAGAAACAACCGTATCGATAATCAACTCTGCAAAGTGCACCAACTCCTCGTTATATCGGGGGAAGTTGTGTCCACCACGATGTGTCATCTTCCTCGCCATATCGGGATCAAACAACTCGTATACAGACTCATCGACGAATGAGTAATGATCCTTCAAACCACGGACATGGACAGAAGGTACTGGGATCTTTTCAGGGATATCACTCGGTCTCCATCGAAGGAGGAGGTCAACAGGAAAGTCAAGCTCATCCTTGACAGCGTTGATCATGTCATACTCAATTGAAGTGTGAAGATCCTTTTTCCAGTCCAACTTCTTGCCGTGAGAAACGTCAATTCGTCCAGGGAGGTATGTCGGTTCAAGAGTGTTCTTCTCTGTAAGATCCCAGCTGACCACACCATTGTCAAAGGAGTGGGGAAGGAAGGCTGATGTGAAGATGGCCATCTTGAAAGGGTATGGTGTATCAGGATGCTCGGCTTGGTGCATGAGAAGAAGAAGGGCGGCCATAGAACCCCCCTGGGAGAAGCCCCAGACTCCATCAAATGGACCTTCTGACTCGACGTAGGCAGCTAGACGCTCATATGCCTCTTCGACGTCTTCCGGGTAGGGAAAGTTGTACCAGCTGTAGTTGGGCTTGGGGACTTGCTTGAGATTTGCTGGTCTTGTTAGCTCCGTGGATACAGTGGAGACGGACTTGTTGACACTTACGGAGCATCAGTTCTGTGGGTTCCATGCCCGCCTCGAGGAATTCGTACTCCCAGTCACTTGGCAGATGAGCAGTGATGGGCTCCATCTGTTGTTGGAGAACCTCTACGCTGAAGGCGTAGCCGTGGAGACAAAGAAATCTCATCTTGATAGGAGGTAAATGATATTTTGAAACAGAATTGAATTGAAGGTCTCAAAATAGTGAACTAGATGAATGTTGGTGAGTTGCTGTAATTAATTATATTTTAGACCTTCACCAACCTTTTTATTAAATTTTTCTTCCATTCGTCCGGTCTCCTCTATACGTAGTATACTGTAAGTAACGGCAGAACTTGGTTTATTCGCTGTAAAGGTGTTCAACGCTCTTTCACCATTGAGTAAGCCGTATGTGATGCATACCATCCGAGCCACTCGGAATGCCTCGCTAAGATCTGTAAGGCAACCGCATTGGTAAGCTTGACAATACCGGGACTACCGGAGCCACAAATGCAAGGATGAATCTAGATCTGGCCACCGAGAGGCTTCCAGAAGCTCGTTCTATCGATCGGAAGACGTACGGAAGCTTGCAGAAGTGGGTCGCAGGATCGGAGGTTGTGCTGGCCACTTCGGAGGTTCGAGAATAACACGGGTAGGTACTTACACTGGGTTATCTCTTATGAAAATGAGATCAGATTGCGTCTTTGACATGAAAGATTGACTAATCCTTGAAGTTGGCTGCCGTTGCTGTAGTATGCCCTCCCTGATGATATTCCTCTTTACTCTCTTACTAAGCAATCGTCTCCCATGAGCCAGCGCCAGACTCTGAGAGCGCTTCACAAACATATTCTATCCCGTCCCCAGTGCATTTTGATTAGCTCTTCTGGTAAATTGTTTGTAGCAGCAAGACGAAGAATGACAACGACGACAACGGCCCCTGCGTTGCCAACGCCCATTCACGATGGCCTTGGTAATGGTACTATATATGGTAAGACATTGAGTTCAGCATGTCTTAATAGAGATATACTGACTTAACACAGAGAGGAGTATTCCCAGGCCCGTTAATCCGTTCTCGAATCGTGTACCTGGACGAGAAATCATAACGGTCCCCAACTTCACGCTCGAATCTGGTGTTGAGATGCGAAATGTGCCAGTTGCGTATATGAGCTGGGGCAAGCTATCACCAAAGGCCAATAATGTCATGATCATTTGCCATGCGTTATCTGGGAGTGCAGATGTCAGCGACTGGTGGGGCCCGCTTCTTGGACCTGGAAAGGCGTTTGACACGGACAAGTTCTTTGTCATCTGTATGAACAGTCTAGGAAGCCCATATGGAACCGCCAGTCCTGTGACAGCCAAGAATGGAGACTACTCGGAGGGATGGTACGGGGCTGACTTTCCTGCAACTACTATCCGAGATGATGTTCGGTAGGTGATATTTGCTGAGACAACCACAGTCACCCGCTAAGTATTGCAGGCTTCACAAGTTGGTCCTAGACAGACTCGGAGTTCGAAAGGTTGCTGCTGTCATTGGTGGCTCTATGGGCGGTATGCACGTTCTAGAATGGGCATTCTTTGGTAAAGACTACGTTCGTTGTATTGTACCAGCTGCAACGTCAAGTCATCAAAGTGCGTGGGCCATTGGCTGGGGTGAGGCACAGCGCCATGCCATTCGAAGCGACGTTAAATACAAGAATGGTCGTTATGGCTTCGACGATCCGCCCATTCTTGGACTGGAAGCGGCTCGTATGACAGCATTGTTGACGTATCGAAGTCGGGACTCCCTTGAGAGGCGATTTGGGCGCGATACGGGAAACAAGAAGAAGGTGAGCACCTAAGCTTTGTGAGAACGCTGGGTCTAACAAAAGCTTAAGACACAAAATAAAGACAGCGAGACATTGCCGAGCAACAGTACACCAATTCATAGCCAAGGAGGGGCCGATGAAACACCTGTAGCCTTTGACCGTGCCGACTCCAACTTCGCGGCCCAATCCTATCTCCGCTACCAAGCCAAGAAGTTTTCCGACCGCTTCGACAGCAACTGCTACATCGCCCTCACTAATAAGCTCGACACTCATGACCTGGCTCGGGGGCGAACACGGACCATAACCGAAGCGCTGTCACTGATTGAGCAGCCTACCCTTGTGCTGGGCATACGGAGTGATGGGCTGTACACGCTTGCGGAGCAAGAGCAGATTGCACGAACCGTGCCAAATGCCAAGCTGAGAGAGATTGTTAGTGACGATGGACATGATGCCTTCTTGATCGAGTGGAGCCAGTTGAACTGGTTGTTGGTTGGATTTCTGCATGAGAGTTTACCGGATATTATGCAGAGAGCGGCTCTGTAATATGAGGACAGTATGAGTATGTAGATTACTACACATATCTATCATGATGCACCGAGAGAAGATAAGAGTGCCTTTGATGACGCTGCGGACAATCTGGAGCTGGCAACATGCCTAGCCTCCGTCTCGCTTTCCTAATTGACTAGAGATCGCTAAACACATGAGACACATATACCGCCCATGGCTCTGACGCTCCCCACGTTTTGCCTTCACAAATTACTTTGTCTCTGTCACTGTGAACTCCGACACGCACAGTATCCTTATTGGTCGGCTATTATCTTGAAGCAAATCGTCCTGTATATGGCGCCTGTGCTGTCGTTCGGTATCGTGGCAATGGCTCAAGGTGTCGGGATCCGGTAGCCGATTGATAGCGAATGTCTTGCTCCAGCGATTATGACTGGACATTGTCGGGAAGTATCGAGAAAAAAGAGGTCGTAGCGTCGGAACGCAAGCGCATAGTAGTCCGCAACAAAGTTCAGCAAACGACCAACACGCCACGTCGACATTTTCCCAGGAGATATCTTTTAGGCCATCTAGATAGAAAATTCGAACTACAGAAATAGCACAAGTACTATATAGACAATTAGTAGTTGGTGTCAAGAGAAGAATGCTTGAGGGACTTACAGAAAGCCCACGCAGAAAACAGCAAGCAGAACAAAGCGCTGCCGACGGGCCAGCTTTAGCTTCATCACCACAGGCAAGGGAATTGCTATAATTATTATGTCCGTCGCGATGTTACCAGCTGCAGTGATGTACCACATTGGATGTTTCGGAACGCATTTGCCCTGGATAGCTGGGTCCCAGAACGCCGCTACAGGTGTGCAAATGAAGATATTAAGGAATATCTGAGAAATGCTCCAGGTTGAAACGAGTACCATGGCAACGAGAAGAACTGTCCTCATCTTGTTTGTGGCGAAGGCGCGGTAGTATTGGCAGAGGAGTGTTGTTTTGATCGCACCTAGAGATACGAGGTAAAGGATGATGCTGACGTAAAATACCTTTTAATGGTATTAGTAAGTGAGCATATAAACCTTCTAGAAACAAACCTTGAAGCAATTCCTGGAATCCTCCTCTGTCAAGAACATTTGGTGTCTACCAAATCCATATTTAATGCCTATTGTAATTTAGTTTCTCACCCTCACCCGCATTGAGACGGAATTTACTCATACCTAACAATATGCCAAATGAACATGAAGTGATAAAAACCTGTTATTCTCATACTTAGCACCCGGCCTGGTCTCTGGTGTTGAAGCTGGGACTGACCATAGACAATACAGCCCAAATATCGTCGGCACCGAATTGCTTTAGCAACACAGCTCGAGTATACACACGTAGAAGCACAACAGTAAACGTCAGCAGCAGTAATGGTAGAACAACACCCAGTAAGAGTGGTGCTCGAGTATCCCCCTGTTTCATCTTAAATGCCAATCAAGTTGCTGTACAGAGTATAATTGCCGCTGATTGAAAGGTTGAAAGTGGTATCCCTCTGAAATTTGTAACCATTGACCCGACGACAACATTACCAACTAAAGGTCTTTCAAATAGAGTTAAGCCATTATGCAGCCTACCTAGTAGTGCATTCTTAGCCCAAGCCACAAGCCATGCCTGGGAAGTTACAGGCTTAGAGTTAGTAATGCCGCTAAGCAGGCTAGAACTTCAGAGACCAACCAGGATTGAGAAAATCTATCTAGTTTATCATAAAGATAAGATTTATATCTGCTAATACTTATTATAGCTAAGATAATTACGTTAGACGTAATACTGTAAGGGGGTAGGGTTTGCGGTGCTAGCATTAGCTACTAATTCTATTAACTGAAATTAAACGCAAACCGCACTTTGGGCAGCACAGCAGCTCCTATGGAGTATAAAATACCTCAATTTAAGCTTTCAGCTCATTTCCACTAATGCCCTCACTGAATGCCACAACATGCCAGCTGACATTTAGCTGTAAAGATGAACATAAACTAGAGGTTAACGAGGCGCACCCTAATACATATTGACGTTTCCGCTTACATACCGGTAATGCATTACGGTCTTGTATGTGTCTATTCGTTAAACAATGGCAAATGCTGAGGGTTCTCACGTGCCATAGCCTCTATTTGTTTCTGCCGTTGGTCAAATTGAAGAGGTTGAGCAATTTCATAAGGCAAGTAGGTATTTTATAGTAACAATTCCTGGGTCACGCCAAAAGATCTGGCACGGTCGGACCGACCATGTGGAGAAATATCCTAATTACCCTTGTGTGTCTCTGAAGATCTTTGAGTTTTAATAGAGGGTGGGTTCTATTAATGATCTAGAATGGAGTGGCTTTGACGCTTTGGTAGCCGAACCAGTCTGCCGGTATTGCCGTCTGGGTATACATTTTCATTTCATTTGGTCGGCTATTTCAACATCCCGTAGGATAGGTCCAAGCCACTCGGCCAAAATAACACATTGACCTTTTCCCTCTTTCAGGCAGAATAGACTCTGTAGCCAAATCGTGGGGGTATATAAAACGCATAATTTCCTTTACAAAAATTGGGGTAATTGAGAGTAACTTCGTCCTTACTAGATTTGGCATAAGAATAACAATCTTCTGACTTGGTTATTGGGAAAGAGAATTGCCTCTACTCTATTTTAAACAACTCCATGATATCATAAGCCCCGTTTGCAGCCGCAATATCCAATGCCGTCCGATGCTCCTGATCCTCCACTAAAGGATCCAGTCCTTTGCCTATTAACAGCTTGAACCTTTCTAGTCTCGTGAAACAACTTCCTTGACCTCGGTGACTGGCCACAAGATGAAGTAGAGACTGGCCATTTGCGTTAATAACAGTCCAGTCTACACCCGCCTTTTCGAAGAGCGCCCATAGCACCGGTCGTCTTTCTTCCATGGCTTGTCTCTCAGACTTAGAGGTGTACCTGAACGGAGCCGGAAATCCCTTGTTGGAAGCGGTTCTGGGCATGTCAACGTAGAGATCGCCCTCGCGGAAGAAAGAGAAGATAGGTGTCTCGCCCATTTCGTTTCGTGCGTTGATGTCTGCACCTTTCGAGAGAAGCAACTCCATTGTTGGGTATACAGACCCTTGCCAAACCTCACCACCACGATCATCCACGAGTAGTTTCCATTCCCTCTGTAAAAGAAGGTGCAGGGGTGTATTGCCATTTTCATCCTTTACACAAATGTTGGCTCCTGCAGCTATGAGCATTTGGACAAACTCTTCGACTTTTTCCAGGCTGCTCAGATATCCAAATTCATGTCTATCGTCCAGCGCATGGTGTAGTGGTGGTCTGCCGCATTTATCGACCTGATCTAAAAGCTCTGGTGCGCGAGCTATAATGTAGTCGAATAGCGCCTTCTTGGAAAGGAGGGTAGATCCTATATGGAAGATATTCCGATCAGAATCATCTCTTGCATATAAGTCAGCGCCCCTATCGATCAGTGTTCGAGCTGACTTTTCATCAGCTTTCTCGAAAGCAACATGAAGTAATGGAACACCTGCAGTGTCCCTCAGATCGACGTCAAGAATTGGATGCTGGAAAATGAGGTTCAAGTATTTCCTTCGGACGCTGTGAGTAACCCTGGGGATGGCACCATTTTTATTCCGCACATGAAGACTGAACTTGGCATTTCTCAGTGTCTTATGCGCCACTGTTGTGTGATGGAAGGGAGCATTTGGATTAGAGCCAAACTTGAGCAGTATCTCGACTATGCGGATATACGCCTCACAGTCAATCTCGTTCGCAGTCTCACTATCGATCTCGCTAATCACCATATCGAGAGGGTGTATCTCGCGAAAAGAGGCAGGGATGTCCACTTTGTAATACATTCTCCATCTCTCTTCATCTGGACAAGGCGGGCTTGATGGTCTGCAGACATTTGCATCTGCACCAGAAGACAGTACCATCTCTACCATACCAACATCTTTGGAGAGAATCGCGGAAGTGAGTAGGGAAGGGTCGACGATAGCTCCATGGTATATCAGCATCTCGAAGATTGTCTTATTATCAATAACGCGTGCAAGACAAGATTTGCCTTCATAGTCCACGCTATTGGGATCTGCACCAGCCCGTAGAAGCATCTCCGTAGCCTTAGGAGTCCACACAGGTTTCTCGATGTTGCCCAAACTGGCCATCAGTGGCGTGAGTCCGCCTGCATCTCTGCTTTCCAGGTACACGCCTTGCCCGATCAGGTAGGGAAGTGCCTCGCCTGTATGCCACCAGGGATGTTCCCCCCCTCGGGTCAGGACATGAAGAAAGTCGTATTCTGGTGGCTTCCTTTCACCCAGTTCGAGACCCTTTGATACTAAAAGCCTGATCACTGGCATATTAGGCTCTGTGGATTCACATGCAGCACGCATCAGCGAAGATATGCTATGATACTCCGTCCTCCCAAGGCCGAGAATTGTTTCTGGTGTAAGCAAAGTATCAAGAAGCCTCGCCATGCCATCTTTTGCGAAGTTGACGAGAACGGGTTGCAAGTCTTCAGGTGTGGGGGAAACTTCGTTGATGTAGTTGGGAATAGCGTTATAGCACTTCCAACTCTCGAGTTTGCTTACATGCCACGGAAACTTGTAGCATTTGCCGCATTCACATTTCTTTTCGACAAAGTCTTCCTTGAATATCTCTTCTCGTCGTTGTAAGCACTGCTTTACCGCGGGCGCACAAGGCATCTCGCCTCCAACGCCCAAAGCCTTTCGTGCTTGTACGAGACACTCTACGGTGTAATCATGGTTTGGGTGATAGGAGAGCCGGTGTTTCTCAGCGGGATATAGATGCTCATCCATAGCCAACTTAGCAGCCTCAGAGATGGCCATATCAAGGAGATGCCAGTTTGGAGTAGCGGCGTTGCCAATGATGAGATCCAAAGTTTCCAGTAGCGGTCCCTCGACTGGTGCATACTTGGGCCGTTTTGTATCATCAACAAGCACGGCACCTGAAGCGGGACAAGTCTGGGAACGAAACTCCTGCCAGTTCTTGGTCTCCTCTTCGATACAAACACAACCACTCAATGCAGAGCCTTCGTACGTTTCCATTTCGACGACCGCACCAGCATTGATGAGAAGGTCAACAGACTGAAAGCGACCAGAGGCGCAAGCGTAGTACAGCGGGGCCCGACCACAGTTGTCTTTGAGGTTGAGTAGGTTCTGCAGCTCTTCCTTAGCTGTTCTTTCTCTGAGCCAATCCAGAAGAAGACCAATGGTGTTGCTCTGTCGACCTCGGGATGCGAGATGAAAGACATTCATCCCCTCCTTGGTAACCAGTGTTGCATTAGCACCGCGCTCTAGAAGCCTCCTTGTGAAGTCAGTAGAGTAAGTTGAACCGATATGAATTGCAGTAACTCCATTGTTATCTCTCATGTTGACATCTCCAAGCTGTTGCAGCAGATACTCAAATAAGACGGTGTTTGAAGCCGGCTGCTTGTACTCACAGAAGAGATGAAATGGCGTGATTTCTTGATTATTAGCTTTTGCAGGATCTATACCCAAATCTGTGATGCTTTGCAGAGTCTCCAGTGACGGTGATCCGAGGGCCTTGTTGGCATATTTTGACATCGCCTCATGCCATATTGTGTTTCCCTCGCGATCAGTTTGGAGAGGATCAGCTCCAAGCTCGATAAGCCGATGTAGAACATCGAAATCCTTTCCATTGCGACAGTTTCGAACTGCAGCGTGCAGTAATGTCCGCCCTTGCTTGTCCGTCACATCAAATCGTGCCCCTAAATCTGCCATGACAGAAATAAAGCTCTCACCCTTCTCAGTATCTGTGTTTTTCGTCATGTCGGCCAGCGAAAATCTGCATTCTACTGCAAGTTCCTTGACCAAATCTTCCAAGCTGACATAAAACCTATCAATGATGCTGAAGAGAAGTGTTTGACCCTTGCTATTCACAGCATTGATATCAGCTTTCGTAAGCTCAATGAATTTCCTCAAACACGGAGGCGACACAATGCTGGAGGGTTCACCCTGCATAGGCAGCCTGTGAACAGCAGCTTAGCCCTTTGTATTGTACAGGTTTGGATCTACTCCGTCCTGCATTAATCTCTCAAGAAGTTGTATCCCTTCAGGACTAGCAAACACTTTTTCTGTGGAGGCTAAATAGTGTAATGCACTGTTACCGTCATCGTCGACACTACGAGCATCAACCCCGAGACCAAGAAGCTGCATAGCACCCTCTAACGACGAGAGTGCCTTTGGTCCTCTGGCACATATTCTCTCTAGCAACCGGTAAAACACTTTTTTGCTCTCTCGATCCCTGATGCCGATATCCGTCTTGCTGAGTATTATCTTCATGATATCAATATCTTGGGAGGCGTGAAGCGGTGTATCGTTACGCCAGTTAATCGCAGTGATGTCCGCTCCAGCCTCAAGAAGAAGTTGTGCCATGAGAGGGATTTCCGCTAGATGAAGTGGCGTATTCTCTGCGCTGTCGATATGGTTGACGTTAGCACCTGCATTGATAACTAAACGGAAACACTCTCGGATAGCTTCATCATCAGGTGGATATTTGTTAGGAAAGGCTGAAGCTCGCTTATAGCTGCTGTATGGATCTTTCGATGCACAGTATGGCGCTGCCAGTGCGTGTAGAACGTTAGGTCCCCCCATTTCATCCCGAGAACCACTAAGCGCTCTGCGCTGCTTTATGCTCTCTGCTAGAAGTCTCGGCTTTGAGCGCAGTTGGCAGATGTTTGGGTCTGCATCGGCTTCCAAAAGTATAGAGACCATCATGGGATCGACCTGCTTGCATGCCTGGAACAAAAGGGTTGGAGAATCAGCATGATCGTTGATGCCTGCCAGGCCAAGTTCCAAGATCGACCTCATCAATCTCAGGTCCTTGAAGCCATTGATAACCCAACTCAAAGCCTTGTTGGCCTGCTTTTGAGTCTTGATGGATGGTAGAAACAGCTGAGGAACTGTCCTATCGTCGACAAGAAAGGCCTCCTGAATGGGTAACCTCAAGCGAGGTGCTTTCTTGCTATCCTCCTGCGTCTTCCACGGGTCGGCGCCAGCTTCCAGTAGGCAATCGACGATAGCGGAACGTAGGTTGCCTTTTGTTCTGGCACCTCCACTTAACGCCCTGTGAAGTGGTGTGCATCCCCTACTGTCGTGTTCGTCCAGTTCGGCGCCATGCCTGACGAGCAAACGGACAATGTCTAGATTTCCGTCGTCCACAGCTTGGTGTAATGGAGGGTAATTCTCTAAGTATCCATGAAACTTGAGTGCTTCCTCACCACAAAATTCAAGTAGACTGTCAATAAAACTAGTCAACCCTAATTTTATGCCGAAAATCAACACCTCAGTTTCAAGGGGAGCTTCCGGATCACGGTGCCGTTGGAAGCCATTTTCCCAACAAGGTTTCTCTGCCAGGGTGGCTAGTAGCTTTACATGTTTTGGAATCATGAGCATTGATAGGATTCTGTTGTTTGTTTCTTCCTGCGCGAAATCTCGCCTAGCAGCTTCCTTAGTGTGAACATACCAGTTTTGTACCGCGTAGTTCAAAAAAGGCGGTAAATCTTGGTTCGTTGACATAACAATCTCGATGACACGGCCGTAATCCTGAAACTTGATCTTGTCCAGATGGCCTGAGTCAAGATATGATACGCAGAGGTTTGCGAAAAGATCGTGTGTCGGGCCAGGCTCAAACACAGGGATCTCGTGATCATCCGGAGATCGGTCAAGTCCGAAGAGATACTCAGTCAAAGAATGATGAACGACGCGGACAGTTTCGTCAGGAAGGACTTCCAGTAATGGTCCACAACAAGTCCGAACATAGTTCTTGATAGTTCCGGTATCTTGACCATATTGGGGCTGGGTTACTCTGATACAGTCGGATATCTCAAGAAGACGCAATGGTCGAGTAGCATGAGTGACAAGTTGCAAAACGAGCATTTGCAGTCCTTCTGGGAGTTCGGTACGGTCCGTATGCTCACTGAAGAGATTTCTATACATGTCCGATAGGCTGATGGGCATTCTTTCAATGCTCTCGAATATTTCCGCTTCAGATTCAGTTTGTAGCTCAGAAATTTGGTCCATGGCTAACTTGGCATATAGAAACAACCCATCGGCCTTCTTGAAAACTGTTTTCTTGACTGAAACCCTGGCCTCAGGCGATATCTTGGAGGCATCGAGTCGATGTTCAAGATAGGTAGATATATCGGGATCGATAGCTTTCTTATCTAGACGAATGTCCAAAAGCTTCAAGTTTCGCACGATCTTCCCAATCGTCGAAATAGGACGGCTTGTAATTATGAGTTTGATTCTTTCAGGGTGCATGTTGCCCAATTGATCAATCAACTGCAAGAAACCTTCCAAGGCATTACCGTCCATCTCATCCAGGGCATCGACAACGCAATAGGCCCTGGGCATGCTTTTCAGGGCAAGTCGAACGAGATGCCACAGCTCAACCAAGGACAGATCGTCAACAAAGTCGAGACAAATGGGCGGAGAGATCAGATTCCTTATGGCCAGTTGTAGAGGAGGACTAAAAGGTAGGACCTGAGCGAGCCAGTCGCGGAGGGCAGACTCGGGGCGATGGTTGGATCGGATGGTGTGACGAAAGAAAAAGTACAGAACTGGGCAATCTTCGGATGAGAGGCGATGGATCAGTGTTGAGGCAAGGACCGATTTGCCCGTGCCGGGAACACCTCGAATCCACAGAATCCCATCATTGCGGCCATTATGCCATTGTTGAAATATGGGAGAATCGAGGAGCCACTGGTTAGTCCCCTTCAAATGACAGCTGCTATGCTTCTTCAGCTCACTACCACCTCCTTCATACCTGGTTGGTCTGAGCCAGTCATGCAATCTCTTCAAAGTGGCCTCATCTTGGGGCAGGATGTGAGACTGGTTATAGTCCGCAATAGCCAACCGATCGACGACTACGACGTCGTCTAGCGGAAGATCAAGTTCGTCCAGCAACATAGCGAATAACCCTAGGAGGTAAAGCAAACAAGTGCTTCAATTGTCAGTTTAGCTTGAAATCAGATGATTCTTTTGCATTTGTGCCATGTTACAAATAACCACGCTGCGCCGTTGTCAGATAATATTTAATCTCGTGATAGAGCCCGTTAGGCAGAAGGCTTGGCATGACGTATGGGCCAATGAGATTTTAGTGTGTCAAACAGAAAAGCCACGCTAATTTATGTAATGCAGCTATACTCTTCTGACATCTGCAAGATCTCTGCTAGACGAAGAAGAGAGTTCCCGGCCATATCGACATGGTTATAGTGGTTATAACTCATAGTAGTGGCGCGTTAGCGCTAGCGCTGTTGAATTTCTTCAGAACGTACAGTATGACATCATAGTCCATAGCCGATCCCTATACTCAGAAATGTTCAAAAACTACTATAAGGGTCTCGAAAGCACATTAATCAAGGACGAAAGACCCTTCCTGGATTGGAGTGTTGAAGATGGATGGTGAGTTTACTATATAATTTACCGTCAAGCCGCGTCTGACATGATAGGGAGCCCCTTTGCAAATTTCTTAGGAGGACGACTCCAAATATTCCATTTCCAAATGGTAATAAAGGAAGCGGTCAGTTCCAGGATAACATGCAACAAGTCACGAGAGATATCATAGCAAACGCGTTGCGGAATATGACGCTTTGCTTCACGCTGCTTTTGTCGACTATTCTCGCCTTTATTCTTGCAAGGAACCTGTAACATCTTGTTAGCTAGTGGGAAAGCTGTAGATGGATTATATCATTGTTTATCTCGAGTTGTTAGCAGATCTATAGGTTCCACCATACCCAGTAATAGAGTAGCTTTACTGCACCGACTTTAAATTCAGATCATTTTGTCACAAATCGGTGTCGGTGAAGAGCCGATGAAGGGCCGGTGTAGGAAAGGTCATAATATGCGTGTATGTGATTAGTGAGCATCCCCTGCGACGGATCTCGCAGCGTGGTCTCCGGGACTGCTTACTAAAATGACTGCCAATCGAAGTCTGTTTTGATGCCATTACACGCTTACCAATCAAGACGGAAAGTATACGTGGCCTGGATATACGCATCTAGCACTCGCGCCTTTGGCGGAACAGGGCATCAAAACTTTCTAGAACGTGTATCGGCTGTTAGATGGTTTGCGAATTAGTAAGAGGATAAATCTGATAAAGCTTCCCAGTCACCATGGCGTGACAGAGTAAGCCACTAATGGGAGCGATGTTATTCTTATATAAATTCACACTTTTCCTCTGCTTCTATCCCCATCTCCATTCAACAGATCTAAAAACGCGAACAAAAATGTCTCAAAAAGCTCTTTTACTTGAGGAGGTGGGTAAGCCATTAACCTTGGGGCGCCGGACAATTCCAGAGCCTGGTGAGAACCAGCTACTGGTCAAGGTCCTCGTTGCGGGCCGTAAGTTTGAAGAACACGTAACCCTACGGAGAAGATTCGAGACTGAATAAACCCTAGTAAATCCTCATGACCAGAGAACCCGCGATGATGGCCTCTTCGTTACCAGCATGCCATATGTCATTGCTAGCGATATTGTCGGCGAGGTAGTAACCGTCGGAACCGGAGAGCACTCGGCCAAATTCAAACTTGGAGAGCATGTATTTGGTCACACGTATGCTGAGGGGGGCTTCAACAATGACTTCAACGCAGCTCAGCAATATGCCCTCGTTGATGCGCGGTTCGTAGGCAGAGTTGCCGGCAGCGGGTTGAACGACGATGAGGCATCAACAATTCCTGTTATAGTTTTGGCTGCCTTCATCGCCCTGTTTACTCCCGCCGGCCTTGGCATTCCAGCCCCTTTCGCACCTGAGGCCAAGTCATTTGAGTATTCTAACATCAGCCTCCTCGTCATTGGAGGTGGCTCCAACACGGGACGAGCCGTTGTTGAGCTTGCAAAGTTGGCAGGAATAGGTCAAATCATCGCCGTCGCTGGTAACCAAAACGAGGAAAAGCTCAAGGCCGTTGGAGCTACCCATGTTATCGACCGAAGAGCTCCTGATGCGCTGGACCAGATCCGTGCCATCGCTGGAGATGAGCTAATTTTCGCTGTTGACACGGTCAATCCTGGCCTAGGTCAAGAACTTGGTATCGCGGCACTATCAAACCAGAAAAAGGGAACTTTGATCACTCTCCGGCGACCGGACGGAGACTTTGACGCTGCTCGAATAGGGTCCAAAGCTGCTGGATATGAGAGGCGGCTTGTGTTTGGGGTATCCCCGATCCACCCAGAGCTGACTACGAGATTCTGGGATGAGGTTCCTCGTTGGTATAAGGAGGGGAAACTTCATCCAAGTAGCTTCGAGATTATTGGAGGTTTAGATGCGGATGCTGTGAACAAGGCGCTGGATAAGTATCGAGATGGCAATGGAGTCAAGATGAATATTCACCCTTGGGAGTGAGCATCTGCAACCGTCCCTAGAGACAACGTTTGAGAAATACATGTATTACTTTTCATTTATAAATATACACCTATATTTAGCCACTACCCTCGTTTTTCATCACAGTACTCCTCGCTCACATTTAAGGGTCGCTTATCTTGAGCACCGTCTTACCATGGCTTCCACCAGTAAACATGGACAAGAATGCCTTGTCAGCCTGCTCAATACCTTCAAACTGAGTATAGCGAGACTTGATCTTTCCCTCTGAAACCCACTTTGGCATAGTAGCCTTGAAGTTCTCAATGTTGTCAGTGTAGATGTTGTCATCCCAGAAGATGAAACCCTGGATCTTGATGCGTCGGCGGAAGATCTCTGACAGGTTGGTGACTCCATACTGTTCTTCAACTGGCTTGTTGTATTGAGATGCCTAGATAATGTGAGCAAGTTGAGTCGGCCGGCTGATTGGAGGTGAGACTTACTGTTCCGCAGCTGATGATGCGGCCGAACCACTTCATGTTCTCGATGGCAGCTTGGAAATGATCACCGCCGACATTCTCAAAAACAACGTCTAGTCCATCTGGTGCGAGACGCTTGAGAGCCTTGCCAACTGGCTCCTTTCGGTAATTGAAGCCGACATCTGCACCAAGCTCATTGACCACGTAGTCGAGCTTGTCGTCGGAGCTCACACTGGCGATCACTTTCATGCCCTCGATCTTGGCCAGTTGAACGACAACTTCTCCGACAGAGCTTGATGCAGCGTTGACCCAGATTGTCTCACCCTTGACAGGCTTGACGAGGCCGTAGAAGGAGTTCCAAGCAGTCATGCCCGCCAGCCCAAGAGTACCAACGTAATGCTTGACATCAAGGTTGTAATCGTTTGAGACCTTCCAAACAAGTGGTGATGCCATAGCTCTAGCATCAATGAGCTCTTTAGGGATAATGCCGTACTCAGCGATAGGAAGGCTACCAGCGATTAAGCTACCCTCCTCAAAAACATCGTTGTCTGAGCGGATGACCTTTGCAATTGAGAAGTTTGTGATGGGCTCGTTGACTTCATAGCCAGGTACGTAGTCGACGTTGCCAGCTCCTCGCATGCGATCTCTCTGATGGGGATCGAGACCAGCTGTGAGGAGCTTGATGACGAGACCTCCAGGTGGTGCGAATAGGCTCAAGGGTCGATCCTCGAAAGCGGTATGGACGCCTGGCTCTGGTAGGCTTGAGGGAGACTTTTTGAAGACCCATGTCTTGTTTGAGACTTCGCCGCCCATGATTGTGATTGTGAATACAGAAAGAAACGAGAGATCAACGAGAATATTGCTGCTAGTTCTTGATTGCGATAATCACTGTTGGTCTTCTCATCGTGCCTCTGTTATAGTGCTAAATTGTCTCGCTGCTTGAGAATCAGGGGTGCATTGTCTTTGAGAATCCTCCCAATGGAGGATGCACTAACTTACGGCGCGACCTCGGAGCCTTTCAGGTCCTCCGAAACCATAACCCGATATTCGTATAGCGGCCGCAAACACACAGCTTGAGATTCCTTTTCTGCAATCCATACCGGAAGGATTTTATTGTCGCATTTATCCGGTCGCAATGTAGGGTAAACTTTTGGTGTCATTTTATCTGCTAAGTTACAAAATACCGGAAGCTTATGCTTCAGTGGGTTGGCGTCTAACTAGCTGGCGGTGGAGAGTCGCAAAGTCTTTCTCCGATTGGTCATAGGTCGGTGTCTTCGGTCCTCGGCGGAACTTCATAGTGGAGCTCCGGTCATACCGTACGCAGTTCATCTTCGGTTCTCGGACGTATCCAGCCAAAGCCCCAATGCCGTAGATCGTGATCATGCATGTAGCTGTCCGGTATGCATTACCGGTACTTGACGATCTTCTAGTAATGGACACTGCCGTTGGCTACCAGGCTTTTTCGTGAGCTGTCCAAGGCATCTGTTATGTTGTCGTTTGATATGACTCGATTCGTTTCTCATGGATGTGTAAAGGCCCGAGAGATCACTAAACATACCGCTTGAAAGGTGTATCGAACAACAGAAGAGACCTCAAGGTGAAGATGACAGAACTCTGGAGGCTCACATATTGGGCATCTTGTATCATGATAAAAGAAATGGGCAGCTAGAGCTATAGGCGAATTAAATGCGAGGCAGCCATTTATCTATTAGACCTTCAGACAGCCAGCTCGTAAGTATATGCTTTAGTAAAGACGTCGATTGTCGGTGCTTCATATAGATAACGTCAATATGCAATGCCCTTTCCCTCCGAAGGCTATCTCCGATTGTGCGTAATCTCGTATCATGCCATCTAGAGTCTGACTCATTATTGTCAATGTTTATCTGGAAGAAGATAGTACCAAACACAGTCTGACTGGGTATCTATCAATTTCGCGACACACTGGTGACATCATGTGAATCGAACAGTTTGTAATCGTAGATACGAATGGCCCCGACGACATGTAATAGCATTGAAACGTGTAAATATATAGCAACCCTTTCTGCCACCTTTCTATCTATCTGACTGCAAAGTCCACCAAGGCTACCACGACACTAAGACCCATAAGCCTTCTGGAAAGACTGCTCAAAATCGGCAATGATATCATCAACATGCTCAATTCCAACAGAGATACGAATCATATCCTCCGTCACACCAGAAGCGAGCCTCTCATCCTCAGACAACTGTTCATGTGTGGTCGACCAAGGGTGAATAGCAAGACTCTTAGCATCACCCACGTTGGCAAGGTTAGATACGAGCTTGAGACCATCCACGACCTTGCTTCCAGCTGAAGCATCTCCCTTGACTCCGATACTCAGCATAGCGCCAAATCCTCGTGTGAGATACTTCTTGGCCTGGGAGTATGTCGGATGAGATTCAGAACCTGGCCAGAGGACCCAGCTCACATTGGGACTAGATTCAAAGTACTTTGACAACTTTTCTGTGTTTTGCGCATGACGCTCAGCTCGAAGACCGAGAGTCTCGATACCGAGAAGGAGTTGCTGTGCGGAGAAAGGGCTGAGACACGCGCCAATGTCGCGAAGCATCTCAACGCGGATTCGAGTGATGAAGGTAGCAGGACCGAAAGCCTCCCAGTACTTGAGGCCGTGATACGAGGGTGATGGTTCAACCATCTCAGGGAAGCGGTCTGAGTGCTTGTTCCAGTTGAAGCGGCCGCTGTCGACAATCACTCCACCGATGGTAGTACCATGGCCGCCAATCCACTTGGTCGCAGAATGGACAACGATGTCGGCGCCGTGCTCAATAGGACGGATGTAATAGCCACCTGCACCAAGAGTGTTGTCGACCTTAGTCCAGTCAGCTCTACTCAACGAGATAGGAACGACCAACTTACGACGAGGGGGATACCGTGCTCATGAGCGATCTTGGCGATGCCTTCAAAGTCAGGCACGACGTAATCGGGGTTGCTCATGCTCTCGACATAAATAGCACGAGTTTGGTCATCAATAGCAGCAGCATAGTCCTCAAGCTTTCCGCTTCGCACAAACTTGGTCTTGATACCAAAACGGGGAAGCAGCACGTTGAGCTGGTTGTATGTGCCACCGTACAGATGCGAGCTGGCCACAATGTTATCACCAGCCTTGGCGAGAGTGGCGATGGTGAGGAACTGAGCAGCTTGACCAGAAGAAGTGGCAGCAGCGGCAATGCCGCCTTCTAGAGCAGCAATTCGCTTCTCGAAAACATCAACAGTAGGCTGAGATAATAAGTCAGTTTATGAACTTGGGGATTATTCGGGTTACTCACGTTCATGAGACGACTGTAGATGTTGCCGAGCTCCTTGAGACCAAAAAGGCGCGCGCCATGAGCAGAGTCGTTGAAAGTGTAGCTCTAAGTGAGAGTCAGATGCTGGATCTATCAGAGTTCAGGTTTGGGCAAGACTGACAGATGTCGCATAGATGGGAACAGCAGTGGACCTTGTGTGAGGATCCGGTGTGTAACTACAAAATGTTAGATTCAGGCGAGACAACATCCAGGGGAGTCATACCCAGCATGAAGCTGAAGGGTCTCAAAGTTCTGAAAGACTTGCTCCGCCATTTTGAATAGCTTTTGTTGAAGGATATGAAGCACAAGAATGGGAAAGAGAAAGCCTGCTAGTGTTATCCTGGTCAAAGGAGAATATCATTGAATAGAGGTCTTTAATATGGCAAACATTTGCGATCCGGTTGAGAGGCCTTTGCTCGGCTCAAAGTAAATTTCGTATTGTCAGATCGGCTGGGATCTTCACTCCGGCTCCGTTACCGAACGCCGCCGAGCGGAGCAATCGGACACTTCCTTATGGATCCTCATGCACGTCAGCTCCGGTCCGGTCTCCGCAAAAGCTTCCGACGACCAATCGCATCTCTCTTCGTGATGATGCAACTTGTGCTGATTTGAAGCATGAATACGACAGAATCAATTTAGTGAAAGATCGCGGAATATGGCCGAGAAAAGGTTCCGTTCGGTTGCTCATTAAGTAACGTGTAGATCAACAACCTCGGTTTGCAAACGAGGTCCGAGAAACGCAGCATTCAGTAGCACTGCAACACTGCAACGCGTAGAACAAGGGATTGTACAAGTAGGATAAGGCCCAAGGCACGTTTTTGGCTTGATTGGTATTGTGTTGAAACTATATCCTGCTTAGCTGTCATTCTCAGTTCGATATCTCTATGCAAAAGATAGCAAAGCAAGCAATACTCTCTCTCAACTCTCTTGTAAAGCCTTCTGCTAACGCCATGGGTTCAATCTCCCACTTGCCTGCGTACGGTCATAGGCTTCTCCCCGTGGTAATCGACGAGATTGCGCGGGACGAGCCTGATCGCGTGCTTTTCTACACTCCCCGTAACGGACAACCGTCGCAAGGATATGATGAAGTCACCACCAAGATCTTTGCCAACTCTATTAACCGACTGTGCGGGTGGCTTGACTCCCAACTTGGATCGCCAGCGGTATCCAAAACAATTGCCTACATTGGTCAAAGTAAGTTGGCTTTGCTATCCTACTGCAGGCAGCTGCTGATGAGCTTCAGATGACCTGAGATATTTCATCATGATGATTGCTTCCACGAAGCTGGGACATAGAGTAAGGCCCCAAGTATCTCATTAACTATGTAGTCTCTAACTGATTAGCTGTTACTCTCGTCACCAAGAAACAGTGTCGAAGGACACGTGTCATTGATCAAACAGTCTGGCTGCGAGTTCTGGATCGCTTCATCTGGCCTGGACCACCACGGATTCCTCCAAGACCTCCAGATCCCAAGCGTTGAGGCTCCAGAATTATCCCAGCTCCTGGATCCAACACCCCTCAAACCCTATGTCTACCAAAAGTCCTGGAACGAAGGAAAGTCAGACATTCTTGCACTGCTTCACACCTCCGGCTCTACCGGCCTTCCTAAACTGGTGCCAGTATATCTCGAGACCGCTGCTACTGTTGATGGCTTCCACCTCATGGAACTTACAAATGGGAAGAGGCCGACTGGTGTTGAGTGGACTGGCACGAGACAGTTGTGCGCTATGCCTCTGTTCCACGTAAGTATTCGTCTTCTTGTACCTGAGCCAGGCTCTGATGCGTGTATTTAGGTTGCTGGAATCTGTCTTGGTCTGTACTCGGCCATCTTTTTCAACTGGACTGTTGTTCTCCCGTCCGTAGGGCCCATCATGCAGCATGGTATCGAAGACGCGCTTGACCATATCACACTCGACTCAGCCTTCATCTCACCCAGTGTCCTACAGGACATCTCCAAGTCTCCCCGTGTGCTTGAGAAGCTGTCGAAGCTCAAATTCATCACGTCAGCTGGAGGACCTATTCCTCAGTCCGTCGGCGATTTGATTCACCCGCGTGTACCCATAATGCAAACAATGGGCATGACGGAGGGCCAATGGCTTGCGTCCGTGGTCACGCACCCCGATGAGTGGGCTTACTACTATTTCCATCCACGGACAGGCGTTGAGATGCGTCCTTACTCCGAAGATCTGTCTGAGCTGGTCTTTGTGCAAAACCCTAAGCTTACTGCTACCCAACCTGTCTTCAAGACGTTCCCTGAGCTTGATATCTGGGAGACGAAAGATTTGTACTCACGACACCCAAAACATCCCAATCTCTGGAAGTATGAGATGCGGCGTGATGATCTGATCATTCTGTCCAACGGTGAAAAGTTTAACCCTCTTGCTGCTGAAGGAAAGCTCATCAGCCACCCGTGGATTGCTGCCGCTTACCTCACTGGCCGTGGCCGGTTCCAAACAGCTGCTCTTCTGTACCCCGACGATACCAGCCTCGAA